TGAGACAAAAGACTGGATAGCCACAGTTCAAAGTGCGCACGACGAAACAAAGTGAATCAAGGAAATATTGGAATATCGGGATACAGAGTATGTCGCGGACATACATAAGAATTACATACTAAAAGGGGAGTATGTATACAGACTAGTCAATGGTAAAATTAAATGGATAGTGCCGAAGGGGGTTAGGTGGCAGATATTACGGATGAACCACGACAACGCGGGACATTTTGGTTTCGAGAAAACGCTAAGTCGCGTCCAAGAAACGTTCTGGTTTCTGAAAATGCGTAGATTTATAAAAAAAAATATGTAGCATCATGTCTTGAATGCGCACATTATAAAGCATCCGAGAAGGTTTACTCCACCTAATACCGAAGATCGATATACCTTTTCATACCTTACATGCAGACCACTTATGTCCGTTCGTTCGCAGTAAAAGGGGAAACGCATACTTACTAGTAATAAAAGACACGTTACATGAATATTAAAGCAGTCAGAGATACAAAGACTACAACGGCAATCAAAATATTTAGGGAACATTTCGGTTACTTCGGAACGCCCAACTGTCTTATCACAGACAGAAATGCGTGCTTCACAAACTCGAAATTCAAATCTTTTACTCAAGGGTAAAAAATAAGACATATATTAAAGCGGTCGCCACCCTCAGGGCAAACGGTCAGGTAGAGCGTTTTAATCGAATTATACTGGATGCTCTTAGCGCTCGATGTCATGATGAAAAGGACAATGCATGGGATGAAAATATTGGCGAGATTCAATTAGCCATAAACACCACTGTCAACAAATCAACAGGGAAAAGTTCTGCCGAATTATTATTCGGATATAAGCCAATAAGCACTTCAGAAAATATAATGAACGACGTAATTTATTCGGCTTGCAATTTTATTAGCAGCGACAAACTAATAAATATAAGGACCGAAACGAGCGAAAAAGTACGAAAACAACGAAAATCAGCGAAAAAGAATTTTGACAAGCGCAGAAAGTTACCGACGAATTATGAAGTTGAAGATTTAGTAAGGATCGAAAGAACGCAGGTAAATAAGACGACATTAGGCAAACCCAAGAAATTGACGGCGAAATTTCACGGCCTATATCGCGTCACGAAAATCTTACCTAATGATAAAATTGTAGTCGAAGATACTCCTATAACTCAAAAAGGAAACAGACGATATAAAAATATTGTAGCGATCGACAAAACGCATTCGTGGCTTAATTTTAGTAGTCCGGCTAGTGATGATAGTGATGATAGCGACAATAATGATAACAATGATAAGGAAAACCGAAAAGCTAATAACTAATAGGAAGCAATATACACATTAATCGAAACCGACTGTTTAACTAACTATCAAACGAGTAATAACAACTAACATTGCGCGAGTTACAAGTGATTAGTGCAGATTGCGAATGATACTAATAGATATTGTATAGATGATCGCAGATTGTAACAGAACAGGCGAAAATATGAACTGAGTAAACCACGAACGCTGTGAGTCACAAGAAGTCAGCGCAGATCGCGACAGATCACATAGATTTAGTACAACAATCCTTACAAAAGTGGATAAGTCGCGAGTGATCAGTGCCGGTTACGAATAATTGACAATTACTGCACAGATGATCACAGATCACAACAGACTATCCGAGTACTTGAGCACTATTGTAATTTCAATCATAGACGGGGATAGGTCGCGAGTGATCAGTGTCAGTTACGAATAACTGACAGTTACTGCACAGATGATCATAGATCACAACAGACTATCCGAGTACTCGAGCACTATTGTAATCTCGACCACAGACGTGTAAGTCGTGAGTAATTAGCGTAGATAAAGCTGGGAGCAAATACCGCGCAGATAACTATAGATTACGACAGACTATATAAATTCATAGATGACGTTAATTTTTTTTAGTATAAATGATGTGATAAGTTGTAAGATGTATATAATTGCGGATGCGTGAGCCAAGGGCAATAGGTTGCAAATTAAGACCGACTGCACAATTTAAATTACAACAACCATAGGAGGTTTAAATTCCATCACTCATTATGTATGTATTTCTCACACTCATTCTTAGTGAGAGGACTCACTCTTAGCAGAATGACCGAATTGTAAGGATAACGACTTACGGCACGGGTATTTGAATATCCGCGCGCTATAGAGCTAAGGAGCGATAGAAGGAGAATAGAAAGAAGCGTGGCGGCGCGGATGTGCGACGGTGACGTTAGAGGGCGGCAAAGGAGGGAGGCAGAGAGTCAGTCGTTGTCGTGAGTTAACGACGAGGGGATCGTAAACAACGATCCGAATAAAGAGTTTCGGAGCTATAAGAAAGTGAAAAGGATTTAACTATCCCTCTCCAATAGTAAGCAACGGACTAGTCGTACAAGCTTGAAGGAATATTTTAATACCTTACACATTGAAATCAAGTAATCTAAAATTTTTCAAGTAAAATTAGTAAATGCAGTGGCATTTATTCTTACGAATATACTTTTACGAATTCTTAAAGAATTACCGTTCAAGAAAGAAGAAAACTTTGGAAATACTTTAGGAATTCATTGTGCTATCTGGGTATGAAACAGCAAAACTTGCTACATTTTTGCTGCCAATTTGCTTGCCATAAATTTTTGTCATCAAGCTTTGCTCGGTACTTGGTGTCAGTTTGGCGTCAAACTGCGCCGCGCAAATCTTGCTCGGAATTTGGCGTCAATTTGATGTCAAACTGCCGCGCAGATCTTGCTCGGATTTTGGTGTCAAATTAGCGTCAGGTTATATATGCAAACTTTAGCAGCAAATCACGAGCTTATTGCTGTCACAGATGACACCGGATTTGTCGACAAGGTTTGAGTGGATTTGGTGTCAATTTATTGCCAAATTGTTTGCTGAGAGGTTAAATTGTTATGACGAGATGCAGTTCTTGGATAAGGTTTAGCACTCTAAATAGTTCCATTTAGTGCTATAAGTACTTTAGAGCGACGAATGGATCAATAACGTTGCTTTAACGTTTTAAAGTATTTGCAGTGTTAAACGGACCCTCCTTCTTAACAGTCAATAATATAGAGTGAGAAAGCATTAGGGGCAAACATAAGCATAGTAAGAATAGATTGAGCTTGTTTTTTGTTGGCAGTGAAGATAGAAAGTAGGTGCCGTGTAGCTTTCTTTTTCTATTCGTGCATGCGCAGTTAGATACATGACATATATGTGCGTTAATTTTCCGTTTTGTAACCATTTTATGCTATTTTATATTATTTTAATATATTAATTCTGTTCTATAGATTATGAGCATAACGTTATTTAACCACATTCTACTGTCTTTACACTTTTTCTCCCACTGACTCCCCACTCTTTCATTGTTCGAGAGAGAAAGCTACTCGGTACCTATTGTTTAGTCTTTCCTATATGATCTTCAGATTTCACGCTTAGTCTATTCTTACTATGTCTATGGGGGCAAATCAACTTTCTCACTCTGTTTTAAACTGCCAACTTCCGGCTTAACTTTGCGGACAGAAAGCTTGGTCTATGTATATACGTCATTGACACTGACACCAACATTGGTGCTAACGTCGCAACAATGTTGGATACATAACTGGCCCGCTATCTGGGTGACGATTTTTACCGATGCAGTTAGTATGAGTTACATTTATACTAATAGTATAAATAGTGGTTTAGTTGCGTTGATATATGTGTATGTGTGTATGTGTATGATAATAAAGAAATAGTTGATATACCTATTAAATACTCCGAATAATGTTTATTAAAACTCTAAAATATTTATAACCACAAATTATAATATATAACCCCCATGGATCGTCTATGGTGTCTATGGAATTATAATATAGAACATAATCTAATATATATATATATATATATATATATATATATATATATATATATATATATATATACATATGTGTGCGTGCGTGCGTGCGTGCGTGCGTGCGTGCGTGCGTGCGTGCGTGTGTGTGTGTGTGTGGTTATATACTTTAAAGTCTAAATAAAAATTATTCAGAGTATTTATGTATTAAATATTTATATTATTACATATACACATATACAAATACGCACGCACGGCACACACGTGTACATACACGTTTCCTAAAATATATAGAATTAAATTAATATAAAATTTAAAAACTTCTATAAAAAAAGAAACTGTATACTAAATGAAATAATATTTTTTATCAAAAACTGTACTATTTTGTAATTTGTATATACAAAATATTTGATTTCAAGCATGGGTTCCGTAATATACTTGTAGATTAGGTCATTTTAAATAAGAAAGTTTTGTACTATTTCGTAACCACGCAACCTCGTAAAACTTGAACTTATTACCCAATAAATATCAATTAACAATAATATAACATTAATGTTATAATTTCCCACTCAACAATGTAAATACGATATAACGTCTGTGTTATGTAACAATTACATTGTTGAATGGGAAGTTATAATATTGATATTATGTTACTGTTAGTTGGTGTTTACAGGATAATTAAAGAAGATAACTATATATAAGAAACTTTCTTAATTATTAATTTAAAAATGTTCATAGTTATTTAGAAATGGTACAAGACTTTCTGTTCAGGATAACATTACTATTATATTGACTAATCTACAGGTATATGGTATAATATTTAGCAAAAGACTAACTATATTTGGCTATAATACTTAGCAAAAGACATTCTGTGTACTGAAACTTGAACCTAAAGTCTGTCGTTAATGTCCATCATAAACTTATACATTATATCATTCCTGACAATAAAGTTTTTTATTATTTTGCAAACAATCATACAAATTTTTAAGTTATTGATTAAAGAGGTCTATATATGTAAATGATTAAATACGATTACACACACACACACACACACACACACACACACACACACACACATATATATATATATATGTATATATATATATATATATATATATATATATATATATATATATATATATATATATATGATCTAAAATATTTTCATTTCATCTTGTTTTTAGGAAGAGCATTTGTACCAAAGAGAGGAAATAATTATTTAACAGCAGATGGTATATGTGATTTCTCTATACCTGCATCAGATGATATACGCCAATATGAAAACTTTTTTATGTTTATGTCTACAATACAAGGCTTTGTATCAATACGTCACAAAGAAGAAGGTAAATAGTGATAAACGCTTAATTTGTTCTATGATTTCATTAATTTTAAGAAAATTGAATGCAAATTAAGGTTTGAAACTTGATCAATTAGGATAAAATCAATTTTAGGATAAAATTAATTAGAATACATTCAATTTAAGATAAATGACCCTTATAGAAATATCATACTAAGAATCATTGATAATTACTTATTTTCAGTATTAAAAATACTGGATAATAAGTAATTATCAATGATTCTTAGTATGATATTTCTATAAGGGGAGCCAACGTTCATTTGTTGAATTTTTATTTCTAATCCGAAAACCTCTATTCCCAATACTTAGTCTGAAATGTTAAGTGTTAATCAATGCAAGCCACTCTATATATTTTTTTCAAACATTTAGAAATACGGTTATGTCTAATATTGAAGGCTTCCGCGGTGTAGGGAAATGTATCTAGCTTTCGGATTGATGCCGCATCCTTTGTAGATTTATTTTCGAACTTTGATAAATATTTTAACCCATTAATATCTGAACTTTTTCTTGATAAGACAGGGGAATGCGTTACGCATACCCGCGATTCCAAGGGAAGGGTCACGGGTTATATGGGACTCTCTCTCTTCCCGGGAGAAGAGAACTTACTCACTAAAACCTCTGCCGGGTGCCTCCTGATGGGGCATAGTGGGACCCTGGGGTACCATTCCTGAGGAATGGATTCGTCCCCCAAGATGGATTCCATCCCTCCCTCTTTCTTCCACCGGGTCCTCCTCTGAGCCTAAACAATCTATGGGCTCTTCTTAACTGTGCAAAACAGGATATGGCATCAAAACATCTTCAAATATAGAAAAAAAATAAAAATAAACAAAAATTTTTCTTATATTTAATTAATAATTGTTTAAACAAATTATGGTAATTATTTATTTTAGGGGATCCACCTCCGATGACTTTGATCTTGATATATATTATCAAGTACATTCTCCTAAATAATCTTCAGAAGCTATCGCTCGTTGTTTATTAAAAAGTTATAAAAAAAGTTGCATAAAATGAATGTAATTTTTGGACACAGTATATACAAAAACATCGAATTTCTAAGCTAGGAAGATACCTGCTGCACACACGCGCGCGCGCGCACACACACACATAAATATACATGCACACACACTGGTCGTCTGCATGCGCGTACATACATTGTTAATAAATAAACATTGGTCAGAGTTAGTTTTTTGGGGAGGGGGTGTACACACACACACACACACACACACACACACACACACACACACACACACACACACACACACACACACACACACACACACACACACACACACACACACACACACACACTGATCGCCAGCAAGCGTGCTCGCCCGTCCAATAGGGCAGGTTCGCAGTGAGTGCGTATATTCTTATATATACAGGGTGTAAAAAAATTAGACCGACAAACTTTGAGAGGAAATAGAGGACATAAAAGCAAACATATTTTGTTAATAATATTTTTCTCTACAACACTTCGTTTTAATACTACAGGGTACGAAACAGGAATTTTATGATTTTAATAAAAAACAAACATATAAATGGAAAAATTAAATTTATCAATTACATATATATATTTTAATCTTCAAAAGACAATGAACAAAAGAACGAAACAAAAATGCGCCATTGATTAGCTCAATTTATAATAAATGTTCAAAAATTCCTTCATTTGCTT